AAAAGTAACTATACACATAAGGATAAGTGTTGAATCTCAAAAGTGTTGCATGAAGAAAACTACTATTTGGTAAACAACACACCTTATAGTGCCTATAAAATTATGAAAAATATGAACTAATCTATGGTATAGGAAGGACTATCAATGACTGCATTGAGGGCTGAGGAAAACAGAGAGATTATAAAAGGGCAGGAGGTATCAAAAATAGGTTTAGATGTGATGGAATGAAAAAATATAATTAATAAATAATAATACAAGAAAATACTCGGCCCTAGCCAATATGGCTCAGTTGACTGGGCGTGGTCCCATTCACTGAAAGGTCGCTGGTTCCATTCCAGGTCAGGGCACATGACCATCTCCATCACCTGTAGGTGGCAGGGAAGAGGCAAGAGAACATCCTATCTCCCTCTTCCTTTTCCTTTCCTCTCCCTAAAACAAAAGAACAAACAATAAAACTAACTATTCAAATATTTTTTAAAAATATATTTTATTGATTTTTTACAGAGAGTAGGGGAGAGGGATAGAGCTTTAGAAACATCGATATGCTGCCTCCTGCACACCCCCTACTGGGGATATTCCCGCAACCAAGGTACATGCCCTTGACTGGAATATAACCTGGGACCCTTCAGTCCGCAGGCCGACGCTCTATCCACTGAGTCAAACCGGTCAGGGCTATTCAAATATTTTTTAAAAGAATCTCTGTTTAGTATTCTTAGAACTGTTAAGTCAATTTTTGCCTCACCTGGTAATATTGGTGACAGATAATCATATTTCATGTGTGACAGTTTCACAGTTTTATCCTTATGTCAAAGCTCACCAAGTAGTACACATTAGAAAAGTGCGCTTTGTTGCATGTCAATTCTCATTTCCTGGGCAGAACAGCCTTGTCTCAGTGGCAGCAAATACTGGCAAGCAGTGAAGACTATAGCCATCAGAATCAACAGGAATTCTGACTGGTTACAAAAGACACATTTTTAGACTGATTACAGGATTATCCTTTCCCTATCTTTTAGGTCTTGACTGATGAGCAAATTTTGAGCTGAACAACCCAGAAGGGCCAGGGGAATAAAAAAAACCTGTTAGATTATTTTTTTCTGCCAATGACGTCAGCCACAGGAAACAGGTATGGAGGTCCCAAGAACTGTACACAAAGGTCACATAAGCCACAGTGCTGGAAGCCGGTCCATCCTTGCTGCTTGACACAGTCGCTGCAGGGAAGAAACATCTGCACAGCTTATGTTTCAAGGGACTTGGCGTATATGGCATACTCTTCCTAATGTTTGCTCACCTTCTTTTCGCTATGTGTTTTAACCAAGGTCACCTCTCTGAGAAAGGTTGTTTCCCCAGGCAGGGATTTTTCCCTGAAGTTAAGGAGGGAATAAAACCCCTTAACTAAGTGACAGGAGGGTAGTTAATCACTTTAACTACAAACAATCACGCTTAAGCTACATAATCTTTACTCCCTGGAATGGAGATAAGAAACGCCCTGACCTTTGGAATAGAAATTGATAGGATTAAAATCAACTGGTATAAATACAGATGTAACAAGACAATAAAAGACAGAACCTGGCGACAGAACCTGGCTGGAGAACCTAGACAGAACTTGGCTGGAGATCCTGGCTAGGCTGCTGATCAACTGAATGCTGTCTCCATGTCATTCCTTCTTCTCCGATTCCGTCCACAACTTTGGGGACCCCTGGACCTGTTGGGGTTTGACCCCAACACCACAGACCTTTGATCATTTGTGGAAAATGTTCAGAAGAGGCACTTTTCATCTAAGTCACTGTAGTCTTTCCCATTCACTATGAATACAGTGTTTCTGTCCTAATGTTGGTTCCATCTAAACATCAGAGTCTTACAACAAATGACACCAGCATATGAAATTTCATACATCATGGCACATGGCACCTTTACAGTATGTGGGGAGGATTTCCCCTAACATTGCTGAGAATGAGGTAATACATACTGTGATGGAGAATATAATTCACATTGTTCACGGAACGATAGCGAAGGCCTTCTCTTCATGGAAAACATTGACCTCACCAATAAAAGAGGCACCAGACTGCAAATTAGAACCAGAAAGTACTGCAGTCTTTCTTTTAAGACCTTGGGCAGCAATACAAAATAAGCCAACATTTGACAAAGAGAAATGTTCTGTTATCATGCTGTGCCTTCCAAAGCACAGAAAGTTTAGGAGCCACTATATTTGTTTACCCTACATGTTGACAGATCACAAGTTTTTCCATTTATCTCAGGGTGTGAATAGAACCAACAAAACTAATGGTACAAAAGAAAAAACACCTTTACAAAAAGATCATAAACCAGAGCAAAGGACAGCAAGAGGTTTGCAAGTTAGTGAATTGGAATCTGAAACAATTCATCACATGATGTGAGAAGCACAATGTCCCTGACAGAGGTAGCACTTCCTGGCTAAGGACAGGTGCCCTGGACGAAACCTGGGTCAGAACAATCCTCTAGTCATAGAGAAAGGAATGAAGATCCAGCCAGGAGCTCAGAGTATTCATAATTTTCTCAAGCACAACTTCTGAACAAGGAGGGGTTGTGAATGCTGCATACTCTTTGGGTGAGCCAGGTGGTAGAGGTGAAAGAGCTTCTGCACAAATACTCGCAGTGACATCAGTAGGCTTGTGGGCCCAAGGAGGTTAGCAAGTGCAACGCAGCTCCTTAAAGCCCCACTAGATCCTGAAACTTATGAGGAATCTGGCAGAGTGTATGTTCTGACAAAAAGGTTTTTATATTTAGGTAAATGGGTCTAAAACCTTCTCTGTAGTTGTTGTTATGCTGAATCAGAAAGATAAAATACTCCCTGCCCAGTTAAAGCTTTTCTCCTGTGTGAACTCTATGGTGTTTAATGAGGTTAGAGCTATCACGGAAGTACTTCCCACAATCACTACACTCCTAAGGCTTTTCTCCAATGTGAACTCTGTGGTGCTGAATTAGGGTAACTTTTTTCTAAAGATAATTCCATAATCACTACACTGATACGGCTTTTCTCCCATATGAATACTATGGTGTTGAGTACTGGTGAGGCTTGTCACTCAAAGAGAATACTTTCACACATGAATCCCCAAAGAATGCTGCTTCTAACTAAGTCAGGTGCAGGGTATATTTTACCACTGAGAAACAACACTTACACAGAAGGGCTTTCTGGCTTGCTGGAGCTGTGTTAGAAGCCCTGACCTGTGACTGTCCTTCCACAGATACAGTCTACACAGAAGGTGCCACTTTATCTTCCATTTTCTGACAAAAACCTAAAATACAGAATGATAAGGAAATGAATGTTGACTGTGGTCCCATGGGGATGATCTGATTCAAACATGTATTCTACAAAATACGCTGTTTCCATTCAATTGTCTGAAAGTAAGCAGTGTACAGGAAAGATTAATAAGAGGTTCCAGTGCCTCAGGTCCAAGGACTAGAAGAGATGTAAGACAGTCCCAGGACACCACTATTTCAGAGGTCATAATATCAGGATTGAAGAGTGGTTAGGGGCACTCAGGCAGGAAGGCAAGCATTTAAGGGCATCAGGCAGGCAGGAAGAGGGTTTAGGGACGATCAGGCAGGCAGGCAGGCAAGCGGTTAGGAGCCAGCAGTCCCGGATTGCAATAGGGATGCCCAACTGCCAGTTTAGGCCCAATTGGACCTTACTGGCAGTTGGACATCCCCGGAGGGGTCCTGGATTGTGAAAGGGTGAAGGCCGGGCTGAGGGACCTGCTCCCTCCTCACTGCCCTGTACACAAATTTTGTAAACTGGGCCTCTAGTAAAATATAATGATTTGCTACTGAAATATATCCTTGTTCAGTGCCATCATTTTGGCAGTTTGAAACTAACCACAATGAGGGTATTTATATGATGGAAATTAACAAAGACTATGAACTTAGAATTCACTAAATGTATTTTTGAATGCTTAGACTTATAGAAGAATGGTGGAGAATGTTAACCATGCATATAAAACCTGTAAGTATAAGGTACATGTGGGCTTAAATTGTACATAGAATAAAAATTGAGAAAATCAGTTTTCCTTACTGTATTAAAAACCTTTAGTTGCATACAGGAAAGAAGTCAGTTGAGTTATAGAGGAATGAGTGAAATTCAAATATATATCTCAGACTGTGAAGTGTCCTCATATAGGTTAAAATAATAAGTTATTTTAAAAAAGGCAAAAATCCTGAGCCAATATTTTAACAAAGGAGATAAAAACAATATAAAAAAATGTTCACCATCAAAAATTCTTATGGAATAGAATTAAAACGAAAGCAATTTCACATATAGGCTATTCCAGGCCTACCATTTAAAAGGATTAACCACCAAATGTGATGGCAGGGTTGAAAAAAACTGGAATTTTTATATACTGTGCCTGGGTGGGAAGGCAAAGTGCATGACCATTTTAGATCACAGTTCTGCAAACGTGAAAATGTGAAATATTAACCTAGATTGCAAATGTTTGACTAGTAAAAGATCTATTAAATAACTGAACACAAATATTCCAAACAGATTTATTTATAATACCCCAAATCTGGAAATAACCAATTTTATAGAGAGATCAATATATAAAGTTGTTATCAATAGAACACAATACTCAGCAATAAAACAAATCCAATATTCATATAATAAATTTGTATTGGATGTCAAAATATCTGTGGCATTAAGGAAAGCAGTATTTGTAAAAAAGTATACACCTTATAGTGCACAAAAAATTATAAAAAATATGAACTAATCTAAAGGATGGAAAATGAATGATTGCATGGAAGACTGGGAAAGTCAGATAGAGAGATTATAAAAGAGAGGGAGGAAAATGTAGAGTGTGGGAAATGTAGAATTAGAGTTGTTGATGTGAAAAATAAATAATATGTAAATATAGCAGAATAAACTCTGCTTTAACAGTGTACCTCATCTGGGTGGGTGTCATCCAGTGCACTGAAATGTCAACTTCAGTGTTGTTATTCTGAGTAAGAAAAAAGAAACATTCCCTAATCATTTAAGGCTTTTCTCCACTGTGAAGTCTCAGGTGTCTTATAAGGTTACATTTTTGGGTAAATGATTTCCCACAATCTGTACACTCATAAGGCTTTTTTCCAGTGTGAATTCTCTGATGTTGAATGAGGGTGGAACTCTTACTGAATCACTTCCCACAATCTGTACATTCATATGGCTTTTCTCCAGTATGAACTCGCTGGTGCTTATTGACATCAGACCTATATCTGAAAGATTTTCTACAATCACTACACACATAAGGCTTTTCTCCAGTGTGAATTCTCTGATGGCGAATGAGGGTAGAACTCTCATGGAAGGACTTTCCACAACCTGTACACCCATATGGCTTTTCTCCAGTGTGAAATCGCTGGTGTTGATTGACATAAGACTTATATCTGAAAGACTTCCCACATTCACTACACTTATAAGGCTTTTCTCCAGTGTGAATTCTCTGATGTTGAATGAGGGTGGAACTGTTACTGAAGGACTTCCCACAATCTGTACGCTCATATGGCTTTTTCTCCAGTGTGAACTCTCTTATGTATAATGAGGTTAAAGTTTCATCTGAAAACTTTCCTACATGTGTCACACTCATAAACCAGTTCTCCAGAACAGACATCCTGAGATTCAACAACTTTCTGTTTCTGTCTGGCAGCTATTTCACATTCAGCCCACTGGTGATGACATTTTCCACTGAGACATTCTTGTGAAACCTCACTGCCACAGTGTGGTTCTTTAGTGTTCTGAGAAGCCTGGGGCTGGAGAAGCTCTGAGGGAGCTTGGATGTCTTTCCCAACCTCCTTGCTCTTTGAAGGCACATCTGAGAAGTAGAAGCTGCACCTGGTCACAAATGAGGGCCTGTCCATAGCTTCTTTGCAGGATGTCTCTCCACTGACATCCTTCTGTTGATGGTGAGGGTTTTCACTGAAACAGAAGTCTCTCACACATGCCTCATTGAAGAAGCATTTGTGCTCAAAGTATTCAGCTTGTGACTCAGTCAGGTGCAAAATATCTTTTAACACTGAGAAACACCGCTTACAGGAATGCGACTTCTGGGTTGCTGGAGCTGTCTTAGAAGCCCTGACACGTGACTCTCCTTGAACAGAAACACTCTGATCAGAATAGGCCTCCTCATTATCCATTTTATGCCAACAACCTGAAAACAGAAAAAAGGTGAGGAAATGAATGAAGACTGCAGTGACAGGGGGAAGTTCCATTACAAAGTAGGTGGCCTATGACAGCTGGGCTCCATGCAATTTTCAGAAAAGAAGAGATGTGCAGGAAGCATTAATAAGAGGCTTCTGTGAAGTTCTGGGCGTCTGCAGATCATAAAAGAAGGAAGACTACCCTGGGAATATGACACAAAGATGAAAAGCACCACATGGGAGAGAGGTAAGACTTCCAGCCCTTTCTTAGGCTAACAGTGTTCAGTAGGGCTTGTCTGCAGGTGACATAGGCAAACTGTGCAGAATTTTGCTTATGTCTTATTTAAATAAAAATTCAATAAATGAGTAGCTGGTGTTTGAAACCTACTTAAGCATATATGTGCACTTCATAACACATGTATAAGTCAGTGTTAAAGAATACTGCAGAGGCAGCAATCCAGAGGAACAGGTGATGTAAAAATGCCACAATGTTAACATAGCACAAAGCCAGGAAGTCACAGGTGAAGTGACATGTCAGATAGAGTAAAGTGGGTAAAAGATAAGGTAGGAATGTGATGTAGCCAGTGGCACTTGCATCTGAACACTGATGGGAAAGAGCTGGTTCCTGGTATGAAAGAGGGTCTTACAAGAACAAACCATGGTTAATGCAAGTAAAGACCATAGTCTGGCACAGACAGTCACCCAGGAGTTTAGCTATAGGAAAGGAGCAGAGGTGGCAACCATGGATCCAAATATAGTCACCTTCCCAAGAAGAGAAACAGCAGGTGGGATCCATTAAGCTGTCTGTAAGACCCCTGACTTCCAGAAATTTCCTGCACTTCCTGAGGCAAATGTTGTCAGAGAAGTTTGTGGAGTCTATTGCTCAGGGCTCTCCACAGTGCTCAGCACTGGCAGCCATAGCACATTTGAAAAGACAGTGAGGAATATTTGCAGAACCCATGGTCTGGCTGTGAGAGATAGAGTGCTATGCCTGGAGAATAAAGTAAGAGAGAACATCACCTCAGGACACAAGGAGAGATGTGAAGGTCTTACCTACAGATGCTACAAGTGCAAACATTTCCAGCATCACATCACAGTACAGATGTCTCTGAACCTCATCAAGAAGCCCCCACTCCTCCTGAGAGAAGGCAATGACCACGTCCTCAAAGTTCATATCCTGTCATAGTGGGGACAGTACAGACCATGTTCAGATTCTCTCCTAATATTCCATGTCTGTCAAACTCTTAACCCACCACATCCATTTGCTCCCTCTAGTCCTCACATCAGAGAAAATAGCAGGCCTTGGTCCCATCAAAGTCAAACTCTCCTTACATTCCTTCTGATGCTGTGTCTTCCCACAACAATAAAGACAGTTGAGCAGATAGAAGATACCGGTACTCTGGGTCTCAATGTGAGTCACATTGCCCCTACTCAATAACAGTGGGTGTCACGTGTTAGGGTAATGAAAGCTGTTGCACATAAAGGGAGTGTGAGTGATTTGTCACTGGTCTTTTTAAGTAATATGCTTTTTTTCTCTCAATTTTCCCTCCAGGACACCATAAAACATGGTGTCACACTTCAGCCTTCTGAGTCCAAACCCAGATTGCTGAGGCCATTACATTTCACTACATCATTTTTTCCCCACAGAATTCTCTGAACCACACTCCTCTCAAGCAGCTTCATTCCAAGAGGCACAACTTCACTTGCTCTGCATACTCCCTACTGGGGATGTTCCTCCCTCTTTTCACACAAATATACTGTGAAAACGACAGGTTGTTTCCTAATTAGCTTGTATTGTTCTAAAATGTTAAAATGTATTGTTCTGCAAATGTTCAACTGTGAAGTGTCCTCATATAGGTTAAAATTTGGACTGAGGCCCTCAGTGCTTCCAGATTTTTCTGCTGGAAGTGACAGCTTCATTCCCAGGGCCTCAGTCCAAATGTTTACTACATGTGCCAGTCCCTGGATTCAATGCTTCACATGCATTATTATTTCAAGGTAAATAATAAAAGAGATGATTCTCCTATGAATGTAACACTTCCTACTACGAATTTCTCCATCTGAGTTTATGGTGCTTTCATACATTCAGGTGCTAATCCAAACCAATTAGCTTGTTTTTCAAAATTCTAATTGATTATCTCTATAATGTATTTCCCTCTTACCGTCTCCCTTCCTCATGCCAGTGGAGATTTTCTTTTTTTTTTAAAGAATATATTTTATTGATTTTTTTTACAGAGAGGAAGGGAGAGGGACAGAGAGTTAGAAACATCGATGAGTGAGAAACATTGATCAGTTGCCTCCTGCACACCTCCTACTGGGGATGTGCCCGCAACCAAGGAACATGCCCTTGACCGGAATCGAACCTGGGACTCTCGAGTTCGCAGGCCAATGGTCTATCCACTGAGCCTAACGGGTGAGGGTGCCAGTGGCGATTTTCAAGCAGAGGTGACACTGATGTCTGCTCTCTCATTCCTATTGATCAGTGAGGCAGCCCTCAACAAGAAACGGCAGTTAAGCATATATAGTTTAAGCTCTTCATCTGGCATGTCAAACCACAACAAATGTTCTTTTCAGGAATTACCCTAAAATTCCCCATATATCATTCAGTCCCCACCAGAAATGGACTCACCCTTCTTTCATTCTTATGTTAATGTCAGGGCCCTGCAGCCTTGAATTCACGTACCCTCTCCAAGTGCACACCATTTTTTTCTACCACACTTGTCTCACACCAGCACTCCCACAGCCTAAGCACCCATGTCATCTCCTTGGCCTCATACATAGGATTGAGTATGTGTGACCCAGAGAATGCCTAGAAAATTAAAACTGAGTGATGTACTACCTGTAAATCATAGTCCACAACCATAGAGGAAGGGTTGTGTCCTGCTATGAAGGCCTCTGTCCCTGCTTGTTTTTTTCCTTCAACCTCACCTAATGTGAACCACATGAGATCTCAGATATTCAGAGCTCACCTTCACTGTTACTGCACTTGATGTCTCTTCACCAGTCACAACCTTTCATCACTTATGGCCCTCTACCCATGCCCAGTGAGTCTCTGAGAGGATCACTCATGCCCCTAAGCCAGGGGTCGGCAAACTCATTAGTCAACAGAGCCAAATATCAACAGTACAATTGAAATTTCTTTTGAGAGCCAATTTTTTAAAACTTAAACTATATAGGTAGGTACATTGTTATTAACTTAATTAGGGTGCTCCTAGGCTTAGGAAGAGCCACACTCAAGGGGCCAAAAAGCCACATGTGGCTTGTGAGCCGCAGTTTGACGACCATGGCCCTAAGCAATTCCACGAAACTGACTGCAACAACTAAGCCACATCAATGGTAATCAGAAACCCCAGTAAGTGTTTAGAAGAAAAAAAAAACACCAATCACAGTCTCATCTTACTTACAATATTCTTTGGCATCCAATTCAAAACAAACAAACAAACAATGGTGATCTACACCTCCTATCTGGTCTATACATTTTCCACTATATTTAAGGAAGTATTCCTATTGAACTGCTCATCAGAATTCTAGACGCTCTTGAACTGCTCTCTGAAATACCCTAACAGGCCAGAAAAGAAAAGTTTTTGTATCTCCTATGAACATAACACTTCCTACTACGAATTTCTCCATCTGAGTTTATGGTGCTTTCATACATTCAGGTGCTGAATCCAAGCCTTAATGTCAACTCTGACTATTACCTCTCTGTCTCTCTCAACCCCAACATTAGAAAATCCAGGTGGCCACACCTAAATCACCGATCCGGAATGCCACTGCTCCTTCCGTCTCCACAGCCACCATCATGAGCCAATTACCATCACACTCACCCAGTCTATCACAGCTGCTTCCTTCCTAGTCTTTCTACCTCCTACCTCACAGGCATATTGTTCATCATGCTGCAGCCACAAGGAGTCTAATGAGATCTGGGTCAGATCACCTGCCACCACTGTTGCAAATCTGCCATGCTCCCATTACCTGTAGAGCAGACTCCAAAGTTGTCACAAAGCTCCTCTAGACCTGATTTTCTCCCATTTTTAATATTTCCCTCTTTTTATTTATTTTACTTTATTTTTTAAAGACTTTTTTATATTTTATTGATTTTTTACTGGGAGGAAGGGAGAGAGATAGAGAGTTGGAAACATCAATGAGAGAAACATCGATCAGCTGCCTCCTGCACAGTCCCTACTGGGGATGTGCCTGCAACCAAGGTACATGCCCTTGACCGGAATCAAACCTGGGACTCTTCAGTCCGCAGGCTGATGCTCTATCCACTTAGCCAACCTGGTTAGGGCTACTTCCCTCTTTTTAAAAAGAGGATGCCTGCAAGTCCCTGAACTGGTCTGGTCTTTCCTCCATGTGTTCACACATTCTGGGAGGACCTCCCACATCTCATTCCTCTAATTGCCAAAATCAGGGAGCACTTCATACAACCCTAGACCTGGACTTAGGATCTGGGCTTAGTGTTTGTTCAAGCTTC